TGACAGTTTCTAACCAGTTAGTGAAAAACACGGTTTGTTTTCCTTTACCTCTCACATTCTGAAATGTCTACTTTCATTCCATTACCAAAGTGGGTGGATGTGGTAAGAAAAACAACTGAATAACATTTATTACTTCAAGGACCCCAAGACGGAGAGTTCAAACTTTTGTCACTTGGCACAAACATGCTGAATTAAAAATAAACGTTTAGACAACGTGAGTCTTAATCTGAGCCATGATACCATATTGAAGAAAAAGTTCTTGGGAAGTTGCCCACGAGACACCTGAAAACTTCCTTCACCAACCACCACTTACAGAGATCTGAAACTCATAAGCTCTTATCACCTACTTTTAATTCTTACCAAGGTGTACTTTTAGATAATCTTTGGGGGGAGTATAAGATGGTAGTAAAACAGAATATGAAATTTGGAGTCAATGTACCAAGCTTAAATCTAGCTATGTGCCTTGAAATTAAATGCCAAATTCCCTAAACTTCATTTTAGCAACACCTAACATGGCCACTACTGTCACCTACACCAGGCTCAGGGGAGGATACCTGAGGAAACGTTCATGGAGCAGCACCTACCAGAAAATGCTAGTTGGCTTTCTTCCTCTTTGATAATAATTTGCTGGGAAGGAAACAGTATGTGATGTATGGTACTCAAGAAATAGACAATAGAGTTGGCAAAATTCACAGCAACTAAAGATATACAATTAAGCATGGCTAGGTGAGTTAAACAGCCATGGTCTGATGCAAGTGCTGTCCTGGGATGGTACCAATAGTTAACGTGCTTGGCCGCTAACTCAAAGGTTGAAGATTCAAGTCCATCCAGAGGCATCTCGAGAGAAAAGTCTGGCTGTGTGCTTGAGAAACATCAGCCACCAAAAATCTCACGGAGCACTGTTTTAGTCTGATGCACGTGGGTCACCATGACTCAGAGTCAACTTGACGGTAACTGATTTTTATGATTCAAGGGCTATGATGGTAGAGAAACTGACTTTCACAAGTGGAGTAGCAGGGGAAGGCTTCCTGGAAGAAGTAGAACTTGAGTTAGAGCTTTGAGAATGGGTAGGAATGAGATGATAGAGAGGAGCAAGGAGCGCAGGTCAAGGCACATAGATATAAAGGAAGCACCTAGAAGAACATCACGGGGCAGATTCTGGTCACATGCTCAGACCAGACTTGCAGGAAACAATATTACATATGGGACCAACAAAACATAAAGCTTTTGGTCAATGGTAATGGGCCTGAAGCTGGGCTAAGGAACTGGTCTTAATATCTTATAGACAAAGGAAAGGCAGTGAAGGTTTCTGAGCGGAAAAGAAGCACGGCCAGATTGTATCATCTAGAAAGCCCGCAAGTATACGACATTCACTCTAGTGTTATGAACCGTGCCGCTGTGAAAAAAATCTCTTTCATTATACTAATACTTAGTAAATCACTGAAGGCCTACTGCAGAACTCCAAGGAAAATATTTTATGAATCAAAAGCTAAGTACAATATGTTAGCAATTAAATGAGATAACATAATAGCCGAGGCAGAACCACAGTTTTCCCCACCACAAGTTCAAGCTGCTACAGAAAGAAATGCTTGTATCATCTTCCAAGTTATCAAGCCGTTTTGTTTTGATTTTTGGAAGGCGGGGAGAGAGGACCCGAGAAGATGATGGAGGTCAAGCGGACTCAAAGCTGTCTATTCTGTAATCACGAAGAATTATTAAGGAGCCTTATACAAAGGAGATTTGCTAAAAAGCAAAACCAGCCTAGGGAGGGCTCTCAAGTTACTGCGACTTGCTTCCACTCCAGAACAACAACTGAAGGTGTGTTGTTTGGGAAAGGACTTCCAACAGTGTACTCTGCCGAGGTTTCGGGGGCATACCTCCCACTGCTACTTTATTTACTGCAGCTGGCCAACGTTTTATAGCCTGTTCCATGTATTAAAATTCAAATGTGGAAAACATTACCAGTATCCTCCTTGAATTTTTTTGTTGGTGGGGGAAGGGGGTGGGCTTTTTTTCCCCCTCTCTCCCCTTCAACTTCCTTTTTATTGTGGAATGTATCAAATGGTCAAAGGCTAACTTCAGACTGACTAAACGCAAAAACTATTTCCTTTGTTCTCACGCTTTTGTTTCAAAATTCATACCAGTTTGCACAATGCAAGAAATGCCAGTCCAATCTCTTCTGCACAGGCTGAGGTGCAGACTGAGGAGCTAAGGCTCTGTGGAACCCACTGGGTAGTGTTTAAGGGCAAACTATGAAGACTCTGGTAGCATAGTGGCTAAGGCACTTGACTGCTAACCAGAAGGCTGGCGGTTCAAACCCACCAGCCACTCCTCGGAAGGAAGGTTGGGCAATCCTACTTCCGTAGTGATACTGCCTCGGAAACCCAAGGAGGGGTCGCTATGAGTCGGGGCCGACTCGACGGCAAATAACAACAACAACATGAAGACTGCAAAGGCCGTTTGTGGGACAGCAGGTGGTTAACATGCCAAATCTTTAGAGTTCTACTGCTGTCTGCTTGGCTCTATGTTCAATGTGGTTGTCCTAGATGGGTTTATAAATGTCTGCAGAGACGTGAACAGGAACTCTAGCAAAATTAGCAGATTGATTGTCTTTGCATAGTTGTTTTCTCCCCGCTCCAAAATCAAGTCAAATGTGTTTCTGTTTAATATTATCTGATCATTATTTTGCGATTCCTCTGTTTTATGTCCTCCCTTCCTCTTCCACCTGGGTCAGTTCATGCCCCCATCACCAAAATCTCCAAAAAAAGAGGCCTGAACTTCTGCTTCTGTCCCAACTCTGCATCACACTTATAGAGGCAATTCAAAGGTCAAAACCGTTCCAAAAAGCATCTATGTATAGTCTAATATTTTAAAGAACCACTTAACCTACATCTGGTATTTAAGAGCAAACTTTACATATTTATGGAAAATACTGTCTCTGAAGCAATGCCGTGGGTGCATTTTGTATCATTTAACATATGCAAAATAAACACAGCTACAGAAATTAAACTCTTTCTCTCTTGATTGAGAGCAGATATACAGAAATGGTTATAAGTCACAGATCTGGCTTTTAATAAAGCCAGATTTCTTAATTAAAAGCAGTATTGTTTAAACATTGTAGTTTAAAAACAAAGCACCATACAAACTGAAATCTCATATTATATGCATCCCAAGTGTATTTTACACATTACCTGAGGCCAAGCTAAATTAAAATTTAGACTTTTCTTTGGTAAACTCCTAGCAACTGCCATGAACAGACAAACAATTTTACTCAGTGATGAATTTTTAGGGTAGAGGTCAAGAGAAAGGAAAAAAAAAAAAAAAAAAAAAGATTTAGCTTGGTATTCAAAAATATTTTTCCACATTTTAGAAGTGAGTCCATTGCTTCTATTTATAAACCAGTATTCCTGGTTTCAGGTCGGTTGTGGGTTCTAATGATACACCACTGGGGATGGTACTCTTAGTCTCTCAGTAAGAGAAATTAAAAGGACAGAAGAATACTATTGAGCAGGACCATGCAGAACCTCAAGACAACTTGCACTCCTTCTGGACTTGGAACCATCTTTAAACAACAGCTGCTATAGCGTCAATGGAGAGCAGACCTTCATCCAACCAACCGAAGAGTCGGGAAGATAAAAAGCAGCCCTGGTGACGCATTAAGTCCTCAGCTGCTAAGTGACAACTCGGCAGCTCGCATCTACCCAGTGGCTCCACCGGAGAAAAGACCTGGTGACCTGTTCCTGCAAAGATCACGGTCAAGGAAAACCTTACGGAGCAGCTCTACCCTGTCATATAGGTTTGTTATGTGTCAAAAACTTGACTCAATGGCGCCTAACAACAACAAATGTACAATATGAAACAGGATACTAAGGTGTTTGCTGGTGAGGCAGGAGTGTTGAAACAGCAATACACGGACCCACTCCCAACGCCATGGAGTAAGTCACCAGGAAGTTCAAGTCCTACCTATGGGATCATTCACGCCATTAACTGTCACCACCTAGTGTTCTGTTAAGATTCTCTGATTCATCATAATTATAAAAAAAAAAATATTTTCCAAACGTAATGGGTAAAACTTACATTCCAATTGTAACACAGACAAATTTACTTAAATATTATTAAATACCAACTCATACGTATGTAGTGGCAAAACTAATATACATTAAAATATAGTCTCACACCATGTATTTACACAGACAAACACTATATATTTATATCTCTCAAATTCAGAATCAAAAGACACTGACTGGCTTCTTTCATAAAAGAGACAAAAAGCAACCCATTCATACACTAAATCCCAACAATGGCACGTGAGCATCATTTGGGTCCTTCAGCGAAGTCACCAAGAGGAATAATTAAAAACACCAGCAATGGCCCAGCAATTCATTCTGAGGTGTGTACCCAAGTGGAATGAAACCTGTGTTCACATGAAAACTTGTACCTCAATTCTCCTATCAGCATGATTCATAACAGCAATGAGTGGAAACAACCCACATATCGCCTGATAACTGGATAAACAAAATATGGTATATTCATTCAGGGATGGGTTCTTTGACAATAAAAAGGAGCAAAGCTCTCATAAATGGTAGAACATGGACATGGGCCTTGAAAACACTGCAAGAAGCCAGTCACAAAAGATCACCTATTGTACAATTCCATTTATAAGAAATGCCCAGAGTCGAAATCTACAGAGATATACAACAGATCAGTGGTTGCCAGGGACTGAGGTCGGGTGTAAGTGGGAACAGGGACTGGCAGCTGGTGGTTACAAGGTTTCTTTTGGGGAGGGGAATAAAAGTCTTCTAAAATTAGATTGTGGTGATGGTCACACGACCCTGTGAATAGATTAAAAAACAAGGAATTGTACAACTTAAATGAGTGGATTGTAAGTTATTTGAATTATATCTCAATAAAGCTGTTTGAAAAAGCCAGTAGCACTATCTGTACCTAAAATTCTAATTCCATACACCGTATCTACAGAGGCTCCAAATTTCATCACTTACCATGAGTGAGTGTCTGTTGGCTGAAAGAAGACCGGTTCCATACCCTGAGCCCAGACCACCCATTGCTCCATTATGAGAAGGTCCAATGATTCCATGCATGTCCCCATGACCACCAGGCATAGCTGTGGATGGACCCACTGCATGATTCCGGAGTACGTGGATAGCATCGTCCAGTCTTTCTAAACGATCTTCAATTCGGCTTTGCTGTTGGTTAATAAATGATGTGAAATTTTGAGTTACTTTGAAACGTGTTCATGGGTTACAGAAGTAAAATTTTAGTTGACATGAGACATAATTTGTAGGAAGGCAGAAAGCTTTCTGAATAAACTTTAATGGAAATATACTTTCCATTAAAGTATATTACCTTCAATAAACAATAAAAATAGTGTCCTTCGTAGAAAACTGGTGGAAAACGTTAATGTTATAATTATGTTATTTTTCATAGCAAAGTAAATCCCATTATTTTTCTAGGGTATTACAACGTACCAATGCTATACACTACATTGCATCGACTGTAAAGAGAATTTAGATTTACTTTAGAAAAGGAAAGCATTCATCGAATTTAAGGAACATTCTGGTAGGCACTGGTTAAACAGTTCAAAAAATGAACAATGCAAACATGATCTATCAATAGTTTCCCAATTAAATTATGTTCTTGAAGACACATGTCCTTGGTTTCCTTTATGGCATCTGGTAGAGTGCTAAGTACAAAGCCAAGGACAGGTACTTACATTAATTACATACAGACTGTAATCTTTTGTTGAATTATTTCAATATTCATCATGTTTCTTGCTTTTTATTTATTACCAATAACAGCTTGTGTGTATGTGTGTGTGTACCTGTGTATATACTTGCATAACGAATATTATAATGTAACAATTTATTAAGGGCTTCAACATAGTCACTGGGGGGGGGGAAAAAAAAAAACCTCTATCAACCATAGTGGTATGAGGTTTGAAGACAGAAGAGACACAAAGAGTTGAATCAATGATTCATTGGCAGGCTTCCAATTGATTTTAAAGCCCCTAATATACCATAGAACTCACTACCATATACAACTGACAACCAACCAACCTCTTCTATGGGCTAGATAAGGCCTATGCTATAGTTTTCAGTGAAGCAAAAGGACATGTATATGTGTGTATGTATATACATATACACACACATATATATACACATACATACACACACACACACCTCATAGTGTGGTCAATAATGATACCAAATAAACATCTGCATACCACTCTCTCGAGTGCACTCTGAAACATACTATCTTGATGGGTTCTCACTCCATACGTGTAAGGCAGGCAGAGAAGACATTACTGCCCCTTCTATACAGGTATGATCGTGGAAGAAAGATGTACCAGTCTGCTTCTGTAAAGATCACAGCCTTGGAAACCCTTTGGGGCAGTTCTGCTCTGTCCTACAGGGTTGTTGTGAGTTGGAACACTTACAGAGATGACAACGAGGCTCAGACAGATTAAGGAAATTCGTTACCCAGTGTCACCCTGCCAGCAAATGGCAAAGTCAGGGTTAGAATCTAGGTCTTTGACTTCAAACTTACTGCCTCTTTTGAGGCTCTATCATGAAACAAGCCGCCTTTGAGCTGTGCAAACAGCTGGCTCTATTGCATGAGAAAAAAAAATGTCTAATTACTTGACCGACAGGAAGAATGTGTGTCTAATACATTTAGTCTGTGGTACAGAGCATTTTGATTTGGTGGGCTCTGGAGTTAAACCACCTCCCTAGAATCTTAGCTCTGCTACTTGTTTCACCTTGAAAGTTACTAAGCTTCTTCTGAGTCTACTCTTCTTTACTTACAAAAATGGGAATGGTAATACATCCTTCCAAATGTAAATGTAAGCATAAGAAATAACCCATGTGCCTAGCATACTTTCTGTCTCACCACATCGTGGCAGAGAGAACAGTTGATGCTTGAGAATTCCCCCACCCCTCTTGAGTGTTCGGAATTCAAAGAGAATTGACGTAATTCACAAGCATAAACCTAGTCTTCACAATTACAGAGGTGGACAAAGCCCAGTTTTGACAAATGGACCACAGAGAATAACCGATGGATACAAACACTTAAACAACTATGGCTTGTTTGGATATAGTTTGGAGATTAATTGAGCTGGGTAGTGGATCTACTGCTGAACTGTGTAGCTACTTTTATTAGCTAAAATACACAGTTGGGTGACGCATAGACTATAGCAAGGAAGCGCACAAGCAGAGGGGAAATCCACCTTTGTATTTTTATTTTTATCTGTAATTGTAAGCTGAAAGGGAAAAACGGAAGCCTGAACTACTGACAAGACATCACTAAGTTAGACAGATAAATCTATTCCTTCTCCCATGTTCCTCTCCAAATATGGAGGAAAAAAAGGGAAACTCAACCCTGAAGGACTGGAAGGCTCATCTCATTTGCTGTTTACCCTCCTCCACTTGATTCATAAACCACCTAGATATTGCAAACAGCAGTGCTGTTCTATGCTCCATTCCAGTCCTATCCAGCATGGATTGAGAAATGCTAGAGTATCAGACACTGAATCACCATGTGGGTATTTATAATACCATTCAGACTCATGGACATGTTCTGCTATGCCCTACTGGAAGAGTACGCCTTTCTTTACTGTCAATGATATTACTGGATTTCTAAGAGGACCAAAGTGAACTCCTTATTCACAGGTCAAGAGAAAAACTAGAAACCTGTATTCTAGGAAGCAAAGCCAGTCATGCAGACTGGCTGGAGATCCAGGGACCTTTAGCAAAGATGCAGAGGAGATCATCCTTCTTCTAGTATTTTCAATCTCTTATCTGGTGCTAAGCATTTAGAGCCTCGGGGCTTCTATTGCAGTACCTGGACTGTAATCTACAAACAGAAACAATCATAGCCTCCTAAGGTGTGTTTCTAACATGAATCTACAGTTAGTCACAGGAGAATCCTGAAGAGTGAAGTAGACATCAGAAGAAAACCACCTCAGTCCAAAAGGGAGAGCGAGCAAGGAGGAGACATACCAAAGAGTGTAAGGGTCCTTCGTAATTAGGAGATGATGAGGCCTGTCCTCCATTTCTAGACCAAACAGCTGTGCCTGCTGATGACAAAATGGGGATCATCGTTAGGCTGCATTACGTCCAGAAGAATCTCACCAGCATCTTAGACAGACACTCATTTAGACGATACGGCACATTACCCGAAAAAGGGCTCCACGCGAGAATTTCTGGACAAGGGAAACATTTAAAATATAAACTATGTACATTTTACATAGACTAGGAGTGCCCTCAGGCTGCCTGCCTCCTAATTAATTAATTCTGAATTTTAGCTAGAAGGATCCTGTTGATGAAAAAAAGATCACTAATAGAGACAAAGCACTTTTAACAGTGACTAAGGAGTTTTTTAAGACCCTTGCTCAAGGACAAAAAAAAAAAAACAACACCAAACACAGTGCCATCAAGTCGGATCTGACTTCTAGCAACCCCTCCTTGGGTTTCTGAGGAGGTATCATTATGGAAGTAGATTGCCAACCCTCCTTCTGAGGAGCGGCGAGTGGGTTCGAATTGCCAGCCTTCTGGTTAGCAGTCAAATGCCTCAAGCACTACACTACCAGCTTACATTAAACCAAAATTCTTTCACCAACAGAAAATGGGTTTACTGCTTGCTTTACACATAATACATTAAGAACTTTGTTGTTGTTGTTGTTGTTATGTGCCATTGCTCACAGTGACCCCTCCTTGGGCTTCCAAGGCAGTATCACTATGGAAACAGATTGCCCAACCTTCCTTCTGAGAAGTGGCTGGTGGGTTTGAACCGCCAGCTTTCTGGTTAGCAGTCAAGTGCCGTAGGCACTATGCTACCAGAGCTCCTTTAAGAACTTTAGAGCTTCAAAATCACATCAGTTGGCAGTGATCTACGAAACTAGTACTTCAAAAAACTCAGTATGACAGTAGCAACTAGCTTCTCCCAAAGAAACTATCTTTTTTTCTGATTCACTAAACTTGGAGGTAAAGAAAGATTCCTGTTATATATTACATGGGTAACCCACAAAGAAAGTGTAAAAAACCCTTTTAAATTTAAAACAATATACATACAGTCAGTGTTGAAAATTTAGAAAATACTTAATTCAAAAAAAAAAAAAAAAAAAAAACCCTAAGATTTCACTGAAATCTCATTCCCAATGCAGTTAACACTTTTAAAATGTCCTCTTCCTGTCTTTTCTGAGAGTGCATGTGAGTATATTTTTATGTTAAATAAAAATAGAATATTTTGTTCAATTACTTTTAGGGACAGAATTTGGACAGAGCCATCGGTGTGAACACAGCAATCTGTCCACCCTTGTGCCCACTCCTTCTCTGGGTCTGGACAATGATACTTGTGACCATTTCCCAGAGTCTAACAATATGGCACCACATAGTTATATCTTCCTAACGTGCGGTCTTCCAGGATGCAGTTCCAAGACCCTGGAAGGTGGCAGGCTCCAACCTTATTTCTGTGCCTTCTACCTCACACAGGATTCTCAGATTTTAAATCATTTGTGGTGTTTTACGGAATGATTTGTGCACTGTCACTGTCCTTTCCCTTAATTAACTTAGAAGTGGAGCAGCAGAATGGTGAATACCAGATTCTCATCCTAGCTCTGACACTAGTACTGGGGAAACCTTCATAAGTCATTTATCCTTTGTGAACCTCAGTACTCACTCTTGTAAAATCAGGGCATTGAACTAAATTAGTTGTTCTCAAACTTTATTAAAACCACAGATAATTTCCAGCAAATTATAAAACAGATGAAATGAGAGCTGCTATTTCAGGTGGGGAACTAAGAGCACTACCTGCCCACACTTCCTTACCATCTGTCTCAAGCTGACTCAAAGCCTTTGTGTCCACTCCTTGCTCTGGGAACAGACTCTGGTACTTGGGACCATTTTTCAGAGCCTAACAGTACGGGACTGACTCAGAAGAGTACAACAGTACTGGCCTTCACTTTCTATCTCTATAATGAAAACACCAGGGGATGTTTCACTGTTGTTTCATTAGCCTCTTAATTTCATCTTTATTTCTTCCCAGCTTTGACTTTGTCTCTAGGGACATAACGGCTTCAGGACCCAGCTATGCCTCTCTCTATCCAGTGATCATCCCATGTCAATGAAGGATTGGAAAAGGCTGATGTTAAATCCCATCTAAGCCATGGGCATCACCTCTGTGGCAGTCTGAAATCTCCCATTCTCTATCAGGGAGCTTGGTTTACAGTGGGGATCACCTGAGTGGTGCGTGCTGGAATAAAAGAGGATCCAAGAGGCAAATGACTTCACCAAAAATTACAATATAGGCAGGTTTCAATTAGGCATAGATGAGATTTAGTTCTTTAGTCAAAAAAAAAAAAAAAAAAAAATCTTTTAGAAGCCACCTGTCCTCTTTCCAAATAGCAAAGACATACACTAGACTGGGTTTTCTGGAAGCATTTATATGGGAAGGGCAATAAGCCTCTTAAACCTCTGAAAAGTGAAATGACTGACTGACATAATTCTACAAATTGTCAGTACTCAATTGGAAGGCACAGGTCTGGTTAATTTGCTATTTTTGTTCTTTTTTTGAGACAAACATCCCCCTTTACTCCACAAAATTACCTCATAAATTTATTCACAAAATTCCAGATTTTCTTCAAACATTCCAATAGCATGGTCTTTAAAGAAGGAATTAAAAAGAAATCCAGGCTCATCATGGGGAGTATCTCCTTGTGTAATCTCCACTTCATTCCATCCCATGCCTGTAGTAACTGGGCTTCCACCTGAGCAGTTTTACTGGAGTGTGCTATTCCATTTTGGAAGGAAGATGGGGCAATCTACTTCTGTAGTGATACTGCCTCGGCAACCCAAGAAGGGGTCGCTATGAGTCAGGGCCGACTCGACGGCACATAACAACAACAACAACAACTGTTCTATTAAGAGGTATCTTCTCATGAGCCAAGAAATATTTAAGAAATAAATTTTTCATGACCTTGTGTATTCTAAAAACATTCACTCATCTAATTTTTAGAAACATTTTGGATATAAATGGCTGTACCGTCCTATGGTAGCCTGTCTCTCCTACCTCCTTTCTATTTTCTGTATGGGAATGCGATGATTGGGGATTTTGGTGGGAGTGAGCTTCAACCTACTTGAACAACAAGTTCAAGGGGAAAATCATTATAAAAAAAATCTGTTACTATGATGAAATGGTATTTCCAGCACAGTACCTGAGAGAGAAGGAGGAGAGCCAACAGGAGTTGAGGGGTTTGATGAAAAGCTGTTGTTAGTGTGATCTGGAGAATAGATCTTAAAACAGTGGGGAGAAAAACAAAAAAACTCATTCATTAGGAATAAACAGTGAACAATTTTTTGAAATGACAATGGATCAACACAATTCATTTAAAAATTACAAGTTATGAAATAAATATAACCATCAGCTGTAGTAACAGTATTCTAAAATGAAATACTTTACAATTACTTATATTTTCAAAAGAAGAATTACTGAGGTGGTATGGGGTCATGGAAGAAGAACTAGTTTGGGGATCAGTAGGCTTTGGTTCTAATCCTTTGCTTACCATTAACTGGCTGTATGGCAATGGGCAAGCCACAGAGGTTCTCTGAACTTGGCTTTCCTCATTCACAAAAGAGGGTGGAGAGTACTATCTCTAAGACTTTTGTCCAACTCCTTCTTCACATGACTAAAGCATCTGATCTCAGGCAATAGTTCAAGAAAAACTTCTACTTACTTCGGGGCATGATGCTAATATAAATTCAACTTACTTTATGCTCCCAGTGGTAAGGAAAAGCCAAACGAACAAAGTATTAGAGCAATGGATTTCCATTTCCATTTGTAAATGACCATGTGTGGCACTGGAAGAAAATACCAGGTGTGTTCGCTCAGACACAGAAGAAGTGCCATTTTTTGCCTACTGAATAGGCAAGAACAGTTCAATTCTTGCCTCCTGGCAGTGGGCCCACAGAGGAGAGAAGCTAATTTCCTGGGGGCCAATTATGTGGCAACTTCTACACAGACCTCAGTCTCTGTCATTTTGACTCTTTTGAATGTCTTTTCCAAGGTGCTGTAGAAATGCCCTTTGTAAAATCAAGCTTAGCTCTTCACTGAGCACCCGTACAAAGAATAAGGAGTTCAGAAATCAAGCTAGAAAAGCTGTACACCAAAGGACCTAAGAATACCCACTGGCCAATCACTTAGCACTGCTTAACACAACTGTGAAAGGACAAGATAGAACAGACCGTCCAAGTACTGGAAGCATCAGCACGCTTGCCTCAGTTCTTCCAATGACCATTATGCAAGAAAGCTTGTATTTTCAAAAAACCACCCAAAGCTACTTGCTATTCATTTCCTAAAATTCCACATGTCCACTTGTGATTACAGTGCACCCTTCCACCACGGCATGTGTGGAGTCCAAAGTCAGTATTTCCTCACCGAAGCTAGTGCTTTCCCCAGGGCATCTCCAGTCTGAGAGCTGCCCGCTGCTCCGCTTCCTCTGTTCGCTGCAGAAACAAAAGGCAGAATATGAAAACGAGGCAGTGAAACGTCTCACAATTTACTATTCCTGGTCCATTTACTCACAATTTAATTGCATTTTTAATGCTAATTACAACACATTAATCTTTAATTAGCATTAATTTGTTTGCTGAGGTAGATGTCAAATATATTCATGTTACATTTTTTACAAATAAAATATCAACCCGACACTTTGGTTTAAAGATAAGGTGTCTTCATCGCTATTAGTTTCTCCTCATGTTGCTCACGGGTAGCGAGAGGCGAATGGTCCCCAGCAGGCACAGGGAGCTCACTGCCAGGAGGCTCAGGTCGTGGGGGCTCAGGTTATAGTCCCCCTCTCTAGACCATGGCTTAGCTCACTCAGGTCTCTGAAGTCCTCAAACTTTGGCTTTCCTCTATTTCTTTTTTTTTCCCCTCTATATTTTTATCCAGTAAATTGAATTATTTTCACCAATGATTTATACTTCATTTCAACTAATAAAAACCCGGGCACACAGCAATCTGGGGTGACCCTCGCAAAGTTCCACAATAAACAAAATAAAACACAAAACCTAGGAAAAAATCTGGCTGCTTAGGAAAGAAAACAGCTTTAATGCTTTAAACTATGTACATCTTCTACGTAGTTACGTTTGTGTTCACGTAAGAAAAATAGACCTGTTGTGTTATTAGAAGTCAGTAGGGGCTCCCATTCCAGAGATAAAGTAAGTCGACGTGTTTGGGACGCTTTTATCTCTATTACCTTAAACACTGGTGTTTTTATCTACAAAATAGATGAACAAAGACTGGTGGCAACAAAAAGATATAGATGGTGGTACACGATCCACAGTCAGCTCTATGTACCACATGTGTTTCAAACGTAACTGTCTTTATAACTAAGTGGCAGAATGGTAGCCGGTGTTCCCTGAGGCCCTCAGTATTAATACAATGCCTATAACATTTGCTATGTTGCATTTGTTAAGTCCTCAAAATTAGCAAATAGACATAATAATTAAATAAAACTCATTAAATTCCCAAGAGAAGATGTTTTGCATTATCTTGTGAGGTAAGAAAAGGAAACTGTAAATTAATGGATTAATAAAAACAAAACTTCACTGCACATGTTCATAATTTTCAACAACTTCCAGCCCTGTCCCTGAACCAGAAGAACACACTTTCCGCCACAGGTGCAAGGTCAGGTTCCAGTCTGCAAAGCAAAGTAGCAGGGTCAGGTCGTGGGGGCTCAGGTTATAGTCTCCCTCTCTAGACCATGGTTTAGTTCCCTCAAATTATGCCTGTTATTTTTTATACACTTATATGGAGGGCTTATCAATTAGCTAAACCTTCAGATACCACTTTATCTGGTTCACAAAACCCACATCCATATTCATTTTTTAACTGCTAAAATACAGAAAGAAAACTGATATACAAAAAGAACACAAATCACCTTCTAACATAACAAGCCTACTCCTTTATCTATCACAAATTTAAAAAATTAAAAATATATTGGTTATGTTACCAAATTAAACACATAAAATTTGTTGAATTGGTAAATGTTTTGTTATATATATTTTTACTACATTAAAAAGAAAAAGAAAAAAAAAAAAAAAACCATTCGTTATTAGTACTTAAGATTACCTACACAAGCAAATTCTTTGAAAGTAGAGTCTGGCATCACACAATTAGGCTAATGGAAATAACTCTTCCAGCTAACACAAATATTAAAAATATGTATGTAAGACAAAGGTAACTGAAATTTTATCTACTGTGAAACACAAGAAGAATGACCGTATTAGGAATTCTCGAATAACTAAAGCTATTCTAAAGAAAAAATAATAAGAATTTTGAAAATATACATAGCACTAACATTTTTTTTTCCCCAACATGGATTAATTACCATGGTATATGGGGGCAATTCTCTTTCTCTCTCCTAGAATCAATATTGTCTTTTCATTACTATATCCCTAAAAATTAGATTTGGCAATACATATAATTTCTGATATCTGCTTGATTTGAAAATAAAACTCCACTGGAAAAAGCCCTATTATCTAACAAGGAACCCACGCCACAAAAGGGCAATAGAATTTTACTCATTCATAGATACAAAACATGCTATAGAAGCAGTTTCCAAAAGATTGATTCTTCCTTTGAGTAACTTCAAAATGAAGACTAAAATTTAAATATATATTCCTCATGTAACCAAACAAAAAGAATTGAAAAACAATCAAAATACTTTAGGAAAACTGAAATAAATCATACATGGTATAAATTACAATTTAGAAAAGACAAGATGTAACCATAATTATTTCTTTAGCAATATTTTGTAGTACCAAACCTCTCTAACTGACCTTTCTACTAGGCCCTGTTTTATAGAGGGAGATATTAACACTCAGGAAGTAGAATAAAAAATAGAATCAATTCCTTTCCTCATGTTGTCATGAACACATTTCAAAGAACTACAAAGACTACTCATAGAAGCTACTGACAACAACAGACGATTTTTTCTCATGAAGCCATTTTACCTTCTAACAGCTGGAGCACAAACTGCAAGGGCTTGAATTTCAAAGCTGTTTACGGGGGCCAGTTTGCACTTTCACTTGGAGTATCTTTTGTTCTGTTCCGGAAATGTTGGAGAAGACACATTTTCAAGACTCTCCAAACATGTGAAGCTACATTAGGTCTTTCTCAAAGATTTCTTTTTTAATTTGTGTGAATGATATATCAAACAGTGAAATAACCAGAAAGTGCATAATATTTTCAAATGGTATAATTTCTTCTTGCATTGATAAACTGCAAAACACACTTGTAGTTACATTTCGTGTTCACCCAATTCACCTTTACTATAACAGGATTTGCCTACTGTTCTAAGTGCAAGTTTATTGCATTTTACAAAATGGCTTAGGTAACAGAGAGAAGACGAAAATGATGGCCTTCCTCTTAGTAACGACTGGGTAGGTATTCCTGGTTACTCGGCTCAAATCAATTTCTCTTGCTCAAGGGAAAAAATAATCAGCCTGTAAGTAGAGCTGCAACATAAATATGAATGGAGGATGAGCAATTATTAAGAGCAACTATAATTTTGTAGGAGGATTTGACACCGCCAGGCACCTAATTATGACTTGGATAGCTTGAACCCAGGTGCTGTGGCTGACGAGAAGATGGAGCAGAAGGCTGGGATTCGCGTCTTCAGCTACATGCTGGGCCACCCTCTGCCTTAGTCTCTGCTGCGAGGAAATGTCAAACCCAGTAGGCACCCTAAATAAAACACCAGTAGTAGAGGTGCCTGGGAACCAACTACTGAAAACCAGCATTCAGAAAATGTGTTACCCCTTTATTGCATAACCCTAACCTCAGGCAACAACAACCGCCACCCCAGGATGGGAGCTCTGGTAGCATAGTGCCTAAGACACTAAGGTCCTTGACTGCTAACCAGAAGGCTGGCATTGCAAACCCACCAGCCACTCCTCGGAAGGAAGGTTGGGCAATCTACTTCCATAGTGACACTGCCTCAGAACCCAAGGAAGGGTCGCTATGAGTTGGGTCTGACTCAACGTCACACAGCAACCAACCAAAACCTCAGGATAGGAGCCTGATGCAGCAGTGGTTAAAGCATTTGGCTGCTAACCAAAAGGTTGGCAGTTTGAACCCACCAGCTGCTCCACAGGAGAAAGATAGGGCAGTCAGCTTCCATAAAAATTTACAGCTTTGGAAACCCTATGGGACAGTTCTACTCTATCCCACAGGGTTGCTATGAGTTGGACTCGATTTGATGGCAGTGGGTTTGGTTTTTTAACCTTAGGATGGGAACACCATGGAGACATCAGAGGGATACAAAGTGCAATTCCAGTGGAGAAAATTACCGTTTAACATCTAGGATTTTCTGAACTGAGTCCAAGTGACTCTCCTGCTATTTATTAGACGCAGCCTAACAACTCCATAAGCTTGTCTATAAAGTACCAAAAAAAGGGAGCATTCCCAGTACTCCTACTACAGTCTTAAAACAAAACCTCCAACAGAGGCTACCCTGCACTAACTTTTAGCAGGAGGGATTTCTAGGCAGCTGGGGAGGAGGTCAGGCCTCATGACCAAGTACAGGAAATGGACAAGAAAACTTAAATCAAACTCATTTACTGTTCTCCGTTGGTGGTCTTTGCAACTAAGAGACACCAACACTGTTGAATAAAATCCACAGTACTCTTATGGTCTCTGGCTTGGTCATCACCCCAATGCATTCGAAGGCTCAGGATTCTTGTAAAATACAAAGTGAATATTATGTGACTACTCTAATAATAAAATTACTGTGAAACCGAGTCCTCAAGGGGAAAAGGACATAATGTTTCTACTAGAAGCCACATACCAAAATGCATCATGTCAGACAAATATGTCATTAGAAGTGAAACTTGTAAACCAGATTAATTCATGAACCAGATAGATATTCCAGGGTAATCTTTAACATATGCTGTGTTAAATCAATCTTGGTAGCTGTGTTCCTTCGATGCTGTTTGGTCTGATGTATAAAAACATGGGAAATACCATGCATTAGAAAGCAGACCAGTTCAAGACTAATAAACCAATAATAGTTATTGTAACCATTATATTAGTTATACGTGGCAGTCGGTATCCATAAATATTTACAGCCTTGGAAACCCTACTTTGTCCTAAAACGGTCGCTATGAGTTAGAAGCGACTCGATGGCAGTGGCTTTGGTTTTGGTTTAGTTGTATGTTCAATTGCCTCTGAGGGGAAGAGAAGGTGTGCAGTCCCAAATCAAAAGGGGCCACAGCCTGGGAATTCACAGTGCCCCCCAATGGAGAAATGGCGTGCTCTCGTCCTTGGGCTGGAAGAAGGAGCTCTCATTCCTTCTGACCACAAAGGGCTACTGGATGTCACTGCAGACAGAAAGGCAATAGGCAGAGAGCAAAATGTACATGACACTAATATCTATACATTCTTATTCTCTATGTCGTTGTCAAGTGCCATCAAGTTGATTTCAACTCAAAGTGACCTGATAGCACAAAGGAGAACTACCCAGGTAGGGTTCCTTCTCCCACAGAGGTGCTGGGTGGGATCCAAGTACCAATCTTTTGGTTAGCAGCTGAGTGCTTATGGGTTGTGCCACCAGGCTTCTTCCTATTCTCATATAGCTGGTACCTGACAGCTATACTTCTTTCTTAGGTACAGCTGTTAGAGTGTACGACTTCTGAGCTACACCAAGCAGCATAACTTCAAAAGAACTTCTGGAATAAAGCTCAAGGACTCTGATACCGAGAACTCCTGAAATATCCTGACTTAACATCTTTCCTTCACTGGGGCCACTCTCGCTGGACTACTTAAGTAACCCATGTTGCCTCCCATGCACTATATTCCTCCTAGTCCAGGGTGCTTAAAGACCCATTCTAATTCAGAAATGTCTAATGCAATCTCCAGAGCTTGCTGGCAAGGCCTGCAAGAGAAGTAGGAGACAATATGCCATGATGTAAAGTATTTCACTTTATAGTTCTCTCAAAAATCCATGGATGAACGTGTCACCTAAAAAAATCTCTAAGTACTATAATCTGAGTAAGCATCATCCTTTCTAAGAGTGCCTCAAAAACTGATAGCATTAAAAGACAAAACCAAACAAGAAACAGCGATCACTCCCCCAAGTCAAACAAATCAAAAGTGGGGCCAAACCTCCGTGGATACCTTTCATCTCTGAGATGCAGAGGATGGGAATGAGAAGCCAGGGCTCCAGAGAGGTTACTTTCTGAAGGTTCTAGAGCTTACGCCACTCTTCACACGTGCTCTGTTGTTCTATCATTGGCTCAGGACAATTGCTGACCACCAGGGAGGGACACTATACCATGAAACTGAGAGATGGGCCAGCTGTCTTCCTCTGAACTAAAAAAGCAGCTTTCTGGGACATCAATGCCATTCATGAAAAGACTGCACTGCCTTGCAACTTTTCACCAAGAAAACTTGAAAAATGTGATTTCCATGTGTTAGTGCTTGAACCCCATTCTTACGGCATTAGTACTGCTTACAGTTATTTTCTACAGAATCATGTGTGTAATCTCAAACATGTGTCAGGCTCCATGTTCCCTATTTACCAATTATTTAATTAGCTCTGTTTGTTCTTTGAGATACAGGCAATGTAATATTTCTTTATTTCCTGCATTTCACTATGAGTGAGCATATGCCAAATATTTTCAAAAGTCTACAGATGTATCCTATTAATCCACACTGTTTGTTAGGAAAGTATCACTAACATCAGAGGAGAATGTTTCTCTTCTTGTTATACAGACATGCTGCCATCCTGAAGTCTACCACACTCTGAAAGTCAAACCAAAGCCTAAGAGAATTAAAGTGTGAAGAAATACGAGCCACTAGGACACTGTGCAACACTAAGGCCTATTACCATACTTAAAATTTCCCTGCATTTTAACTTAAGGAATCAGAAGACACAAGGGTTTCTAGAATGTTCTGCCTTAAAGTAATACCTATATTTATGCAAATTAATAAAGGTCTGCTCCTCCAAAAAACTGGATTGCCATGTTAACTTACTTCCCTAAATGTACACATAAATGATTACCCTAAGGCATGCTCATGTTCTGCTAGTGGATTGTGACAAGCACAACGATTATTGTGGGGGAAAAAAAAAAAGTTACGGAGTAAAGTTGTTCCTCAAAAGTTCTTTTCTGAGTTCCAAAAATCTCTTTTCCCTTTTAAAATTATTTTTAGTCTAGACATTCCCTCCACTTAAAGAGGACCCTGCGGTCTGTAACAATGGAGCCCACCCTTAGTGTGTTGCTGAACCCCTAAGTATGCAGATGTCACCTGTCACTGCACTCTGCCCAGACCAAATGGGTAGTCTGTCCCTTCACATCCACAAGCTAATGATGAGATGGCCAGCTTAAACTAAGCAAATCTCACTCCCACGCAGACTCACAGCTATTATGAACACAGCTCATTGAGACCGCTGACACCAACTCCTAATATCCCTTTCTTCCTGAGTCATAGTACCCCTCTACCAGCCAAACTGGTTTGCAAATCAGTAACTGAACTATTTTTCAAACGGTATCTCAGTATCTTTTCTTCAATTCAAGGTTTTGCTCCCCTTTGTACCTTCCTAAAAAAAGAAAACTACACTCAAACCAAAAGTGGACAGGAAATGTGCCGTGTAAGTAGATGAATGGCCAGCCATCCTCCTTTATAACTAAACCTCATGACTGCAGAAATGGGGCTTTCCATTTGTCAAACCACACTGAAGTGAAATAGGCTTTTCTCACTCTTTCAGTTCTGCAGTTCTTTCTTTTTTCTTGTTTTAAAAATCTGCCAAAACGGTACTGATAGTGAACAAAGCTTCCTCATGTGACCTCTGTCCATAGCTCTCCAAGGTCAAGTAGATGCAACACATTTGTAGAAGCTTTGTTATGAAAAGTTACAAAATGGAAACTCTTTCCTAAATTTGGTTCTCAGTGAGACATGATGGCGAGGGCTGTGAGATGGCTCACTTCAAGTGTGAAATACATTATTGAATAAGCAGGGAGTACATTATTTAGGCAGAGATTATATTTGCAACATTTTAAAACACTTCTCTTCTCCTTCATCATAAACTCTCCCACGTAAGTGATTCACACACTTTCCAAACTTCCAGACTATCTAAAGAGAAGGAAAAAACAGGGAAGAACCAAGGGAAATATACACTGGCATTATTCTGTCACACAGTCTTCTAAAATACACCTTGGGGGTTCTTCAAGGCCAAGCAAGGTGTGGGCTTGAGCTCGAACCAGGGTGGGTGAGGCAGTGAAGTCTGAGGTTTTAATATTGCTCATCTGAATGACATGGCTAACAAAGGCAGGTTCAGAAGGGAGTGGCTGTTCATTCCCCCAACCTGCACTCTTCCTTCCTGGGGGGAGGGGGCTGGACATGGTCAGGGAGCAGTGTGTCTTTGGAGAGGATCACAGTGAACCACGTTGTAAAAGATGAGAGGACAATGGCTCAGTTCACTTGGCAGTAGCACCCCTCTTGGGCCTGCACTAGCTAGTTGATTTGCTTGAGAAAAAGCAGTGAATAAGCTCAGGCCCACAGATGCTCAGGCACTCACTTTCTCTCTCCCGTAAGTGAGCAAACCCCGTTCCCAGAAGGATGCTACCATGGCATGTTCTTAGGAAGGTGAAGTTCATCTAGTTAGTAATAACTGTCTGTGAATTTTACATAAACCAGTCTTTGGAAACAGTGGCCCACCATGCTTAAGAACTTAGCACAGTGACTGGAATTTGAAAAGTGGTCAATGGCTATTATCAAGAGCTATTATGCTTCCTACCTCACTAGTCTTAAATGGTTCATCTTATATAAAATTCACTTTTCTCAAGGTTTGACAGTGAGAAGCACAGCAGTTTTGGTCTATTAGAACCTTATTCAATCTAGACACCTACCATGGACAAAATGGCCAAATTTTGGTTCCTTATGACAAAACAGCAATTATGGTCAAGCCAATGGCTATTCCTATCTGGTTCATTTGTTTGTTCATTCTTTTATTTGAAAAATATTCAGTGCTTAATTGCTGTCCAATTATGAGGAAGAAAAGAACCCTTCGTCATTAGACCCTGACATTGATTGCTGGTGTCAGAACTCACACTTCCGTGACTTACCCATTATACTGTCTGTCCCGTTGGCAGGAGGCGTGCAGGAAGAGGTGCTGTAATGGTTTGTACCACTACGATGGAAAGTGGACATCGGAGGAAGACTGGAATTGATGTCTGCTGAGGAGTGTGATGGATAGGTCTGTAGCAAGAGGCAGAAAAGGGAGGTTATCTTCAACCACAAAATACATAGTGGGTAAGTTTCCTAATATTTCTTTCAGAACTCTCTCATTTGCAACAGAGACAGTCTTTACATGTTTCAAATACCCAAGAATATGTCTTGCTTACATTTGACAGCTTTTATTTTTCAAATAATGAAATATGAAGATACATAGCTTGGATTTGCATCTAATGGAGACAAATACACTTATAACCTAAGACACCGAGAAACAACTGTGATCTCTAAATCTGAAAAGACACTGCTTAAAATCATCTCTTAGAGTTCACCAATGTTAAGGGACCATTTCCACTTTTTTCTTGGAAGGGCGGGCTATTGATCAACTGAGAGAGACTTCACTATATAATGAATATAATATCATGATCCACCACATGGTTTACATGACACTTCACTTTGACCTTGGGCACTAAATGGAAAACAGTCACCTGTATCAACCTTCTTCCTGACAAATTTGATCATCTTTCTGAATCCCAGTAAGAACAAATGGCAAAAAAAAAAAAAAGACACTAACAAGTAAATACCTCTCTTAAGGATCAATATGAAACCACTGTCGTTGAGTCAGATCTGACTCACAGTGACCCCTCCTTGGATTTCCAAGGTGGTATCACTACATAAAGTGATTGCCCTTCCTTCCGAGGAGTGGCTGGTGGATTTGAACTGCCAGCCTTCTGGTTAGCAGTCACATGCCTTAGGCACCACACCACCAGTGCTCCCAAGGATAAATATGGAAAGCTTTAAATCAATGTCTATATTTAATTAAGGAGCTCTGGTGGTGTAGTGCCTAAGGCATGTGACTACTAACCAGAAGGCTCGTGGTTCAAACCCACCAGCCACTCCTTGGAAGGAAGATTGGGCAACCTACTTCTGTAGTGATACTGCCTTGGAAATCCAAGGAGGGGTCGCTATGAGTTGGATTTGACTTGATGGCAGTGTGTTTGGTTGTTTGGTTTATATTTAATTAAATCAGAAGCAGTGATTTACTTATATATTTAATTCAATCAGAAAATGAATTGAAAATTGTTCATTTTGATTTGAGTTCTTTCTCTGCAAGTCCTCCTCATTTGCTACCATGCTCCCTAAGAAATAAGAACGTCATGTTTGCAGGATCATCTGATTCAAGGCTTGGCTCTGGATTCAATTATTATGCTAGCTGCTCAAAAATAAGCTACAGTTCTTGAGGCATGTCACAATACCTGCAAGGTGCCAAATTATTTGCTACCAAACCACCCTCTGGGGAAGGGGTAGACAACTAAAGAGACATGGCTGCTTACAAAGATGCCTTCTTTCCCAAATAAGAGAGTCTTAAAAATTTGTTCTCATTAAGCATTTGAATGTGTCACCCATGTATAAAAGAAAATTATTTAAGTTAAAGTATACATTCCACATATGTAACATACTAATGGGATGTTGTTGTTGTTGTTGTTGTTGTTTGCCATCTAGTCGGTCCCGACTCATAGCGACCCCTCCTTGGGTTTCCGAGGCAGTATCACTACGGAAGTAGATTGCCCAACCTTCCTTCCGAGGAGTGGCTGGTGGGTTTGAACCGCCAGCCTTCTGGTTGGCAGTCAAGTGCCTTAGGCACTATGCTACCAGAGCTCCTACTAATGGGATATGGACCCTTATTATATTGTTACTGGAAATCTGTTAAAATGGTTGGATTTGAAATTAGAGATGGAATGTGGTACTAACGGTCAGAGGTGCTTAGGGTCCAGGCACTTTGTGACAAAGAGTGAAACACGTACTCCTACTGTGTCCCTCTTTGCTGTGTGAGCCCATCCTGAGTTCCACCTCTTCCCTGAGGCTTCCTTTACCACTTCCAACTCTTCCTCCATTTCTTCTTTCTCTGAATCCTCAATGCACTTTCATTCTGCATCGTGCCATTTAACACCTAATTGTGCGTTCCCTTTCACTGCTCTCTCCTCCAAGTGCATTCATTTCCACCTATATTGTAAACCATTAAGGGGAGGGACAGTGCTCATTCATACCTCTGCATCCCACAACTTGTGCCTGAGTGCTGAACACATCAGCACATTATATACTCAATGAATTATCAGTTTTCAGTTGGTATTTAAGAAATAGTGGATTGAAATATTATTTGAGTGACAATGAATCTAGCAAATTAGTCTACATTTTAGAGCTAGGATTGCCAATAAGATCATTTAAAATATTACCTCTGTAAATCTAAAATAGTCCAACTTAAAGAACTTCAGGGACAAGGTTGAGATGATGCCCTTAAACCCTTCCAAGATCCCAAGAGAATGACATTCAAACTTTTCATTCCTAGGTCTCTTCACTTGACCAAAATTTCCTTAGGCCACCAACTGAACTCATTTCTTTTTGCTACTTAGAGACTACCCCACAGTGCATGAGATTTTCTCCAGAGAATGATGCTGTTGCCATCAGTTGCCACTGAGTCAATTCTAACTCACGGCCACCCATTTGTGCACAGAACTGCTCCACAGGTTTTTCAAGGCCGTGAACTTTGAGAAGCAGACTGCCAGGCTGCCTTCGGAAGACAGTGGGCTCAATCCACAGCACAGCTGATCTCTGAAAGACTGGACAAGTGACAGAACGTCGCCCTGAGAAAAGCACAGAAATACCGACGTCTGCTCCAGGGATAAAGACCGTAACAGAGAGCAGACAAAGAAGCAACAGAGGAAAGGAAAATAGAAGAGAAAGAGAGGGTTTGATTTCACTTCTGCAGTCCTTTTCCATGCTGAGTTTCTGAAGAACAGAGAAACTTTACAAATGAGTTCAAAGTACATATAAATCTAAAAAGGGCAAAAGAAGTTAAGAAACATAATTAAATAGCCATAATAATCAGAGGATGTGACAGGAAAAAAAATAATTAGTGAGAATTTTTTAAACCTCTTATCTTTTTGTAAAATGGGTAGGAATTCTAGATTTGCGAGATGAAGGGTTAACATGGAGTTTGGAGAGTAAGAAAAATTAATCTCCATAGGTTTTAATGGAGGAAACCAATGCAATCCTCATAAATAGGTTATTTTTAAAGAAGTGTAGAAAGTTAGATGTTGAAAGAAATTAATGGGATTTACAACTAGATTATTTTAGAATGAAAGTGTCTTGAAAACTACTGCCACTGGAAGATGTAACAAGTGCGCCACAGAGAGTTTCAGGGACATGTGAATAATGTCTCTTTCAGAGGATTTGTGGATCAACTCTAAGAGAGCTTCTTAGCCTGTTTTACTTTAGCTATTAAGACTATCTGTCCTGTTTGCTACAAGGAGAAATGGGAGCTCACTGTATTCTGGCTTTACATGCCTGCTATCTGCTTCTTTATTCTTACTTATGATACCCACTAACTGCGTGTCTGGAGTCGACTGGCAGAGGAAGTGGTGGAAATCTTTCCATCAATGATGCTTTTACTGACTCACGGGACTAATAATAAAGATCAGAAATGAGGATAAATGATAGTATATATTCAGTAAAAAATCATGATTTGGGCTGAGGCTGAGTTTCACAGCCTTGGCCCTACTGATCTTTGGTGCCTGATAATTCTTTGCTGTAAGGGGCGGTCCTGTGCAATGCAGGGGTCTACCAGCATCCTGTCCTCTACCCATCAGATGCCTACATGTCTCTAGATATTGCCAAATATCCCTGAGAGGGGAAGAGGGCCAAATCAGCCTCAGCTGAGAATCACTGAGCTAAGGGCTTACATTATAGGAAAACAAAAGACCGAAGAACCCCCTTTATGTTACATGTCTGTATTCAGGACTCTCTTACTCTGGGGCCTAAAGACCATGCTGACACCATGCCACACACAAGGACTCCACCCTATTTTTAAAAAGAACTCTGCCAAGTCATCCTTAACTTATATCTACAAAAACCCATCGGGATGACTTGTATTTGTATCTGCAACACAGTGGTGATTGGCTGTGAGATCCTGTCATTGAAGCTGAAATTGTAAAGGGAACTTAAAGAACTAAAATTGGTGACTTCACACTTGCTACTGAAATATGTGGATTTTAAGCTTTATAATTACACACTATGCTAAAACATGATATAAACTTATGATGGTAATAATGTTTCTAAAATGCTTTACCTTTAGTTAACACTCATTTGCTAAATTGCATGCAAAATAATCCCTGGAAGGTCCTTTCTTTTTTGCCCAATTACCTCTCTGTTCATATGGGACTGGCCAAGGTATGGACTCAGAATGTAAGAAACTCCTACCAGTATTTCCAAGTGAAAGAACACTGACTTCCTTCTGCATATTCAAATTACTTTCAATCAGGAACTGAAGTTACTTCAATGAGAGATTGTCAGATGGTTAAACACTAGAATTACAAGGATTATTAGATATAATAAGTCAATAGTTTTCCTATCCATAAGAAAATTCATTAGGATGCACTGCCAGAGACCTTATTCCTTTAAGCATTAATACAAAACCCCTCATCTCCAGGATTCACTAACTGATCATATCAAGAAAGAAATCTCCATGTTTTGTGATGGATACATGGGATTACTCCTTTAAAATGATCTTTCTTACTGGTGGATAACACTGTTTTGGTTCAACAAAGCTTGTCCTAAATTACAATGTTTCTACAAGTATATTTGTATGCTCTGTAAGAATTCCCAGGTATATAGTAGAGCTGACAAGGGGCAAGGTTGTAGTCACTTCTTGGCCACAGTCATCTACCTAAGGGGAGTGAGTAGTTGGACCTAGGAGCTCAGGACCACAGTTGCAGAGGACATCAAGCTCAACTGGCATAACATACTACAGAAAGCATTGTTCCATGTCCTACTTTGGCGAGTAGTGACTGGGATCTTAAAAGCTTGCAAGAGGCCATCTAGATGCGACGATGGGTCTCTCCTCATCCAGAGCAAAGAAGAATGAAGAAAACCAAAGACACATGGGAACAATTAGTCCAAGTGACTGGTACACCATGCACTCCTATACGACTATGAGACCAGAAGAACTAGATGGTACCTGGCTACCACTGTCAACCACTAGGAGGGGGATCAATGTAAGAGATCCTGTCTAGAGTCGGAGAACAATGTGGAACAACACTCAAAATCATTAAAAAAAAAAAAAAAGGGACCAGGTTTGCTGGTCTAATAGAGCCTCATGAAATCAATGAAACTATGGCCCATACTTGTCCTTCAGGTCTAGAATTGAACCCACTTCTGTGGCATCCAGCCGAACAAAAGACAGGCATATGACATGAATATTTACATTAGGAAGATACACTCCTTAGAGAGATCAATCATGGGAGAATAGAAGGGCTGTGTATGTACAGGGAGACAGCTGGGGGGCAGGAGTACATGGGAGGGAAGGACATAGGGAGGTGGTAACTAGCTGGAGGGAGCTGTAGCATTGTGGTAAATTGTAGTTAATGTCATGAGACAAAGTGTATGTGAGCTGCTGTATGGAAAGTGAATTTGCTCTGTAAACTTTCACCAAAATCACATTAAAAAAAAAAATTGTCCTAAATCAAATGTAATTGGCTTCCTTTTCAAAATCATGCTTTTTAGGCATCTGAACACATTTTAAAGATAGCCTCCATGCAGTGGACTCAATTGGGATAAAACCAATTCACCTAACTCAAAATTCCAGAGCATAACTGAAAAGGAAAGAAATGAAGATAGGAAGAAGAAAAATAAAAATAAGTAAATAAAACTTTTAAAAGGATTGAAATTCAAACATATTAGTACAGGGTCAAAATCTTCTGTTGGTAATCAATCGTTGGATAGATGTAATTTGATCATGAGCAAGGCCTTGAACCAGTTCAGTCATGGCCAAAGAAGCAAAACCAGAACAGACCCGAATTTTTAAAATCTGGGTGAATCACAATGATAACCGCAACAGGGAAAACTCCTGCCAGAAACTTAATCTTGCTCTTGTAAACAAGGGTGGTATACATGTTGCATAGCAACCAAATCGCTTGCCCATGGGATTTTGAGCAGTTTTGCCCCACTCAAACATGGTGGCCAACAGCACCACACTTTATATGTGTGTCGCTCTCCACAGTCTCGCCAATAACCCAGTCTCACAAATCAGGCTCCCGAAAAGGCTCACTCCACCTTTTCTCAGTCTTCCATTTCAGGGCTTTCACTCGTAATTTTTCCTTTTGAGGATCATGCAAGTTTTAAAAATGTAGGTCTGTTCCCATTTCACTTTGTTGCCCATGACTGAACCAGTTTGAAGCCCTAATCATGAGTCCTTAGGGGAGAGAAAAATGAGGGTAAAGAAATAAAATGTCAACTACAAAGAAACTCCAGTGTAATAAAAGTCCCTATTTCCTCAACTTTCCTTTCACTCTAATACCTCCAAGTGGGAGGTAGGACTGGGAAGTGGTGTAAACATGAAAGGAAACCATCTACTATTTCCTGAAAATGTGGTGAAAACTGAGAAAGTTCAGAGTTGACAGATGATTCAAAAAGGTCAATTTCACCTCTATAACCTGCGTCTCAGGAAGGGACAGGGTAACTGACCACAAGATAGTGTCTCTGTCACTTCTTGTTGTTATGTGCCGTCAAGTCAGACCTGACTCATAGCGACCCCTCCTTGGGTTTCCGAGGCAGTATCACTATGGAAGTAGATTGCCCAACCTTCCTTCCGAGGAGTGGTTGGTAAGTTTGAACCGCCAGCCTTCTGGTTAGCAGTCAAGTGCCTTAGGCAAATGTGTTTTCAAGGATAGCAGAGATCTTAACTTCTGGAATTCTTTTGGTGTCAAAGTATGATAAGTCTCCTTTGCTATGTCTACAGGGGTCAGGACAAAGAGAGGAGAAAGAGCACAGAGTCCAGAAAGTACTTTTTCCTGTATAAGAACTGAAAACCTAGCACATATCTGGAAATTGGTAGAAGGAAAAAGAGAAAATCACAACTTGAAGAGTAGTGATGTTAAGTACTACCCAGATCGCTGGACTTGTCACCCCTTTTTTATTCGTAGGGTTAGAGACACATAAACATTTAAGTTGTGTACTACACGAAGAACTCAAGTCCTAGCTTCTGCTCCTGTGGTGCAGACCTAGGGGTTCCCTTTCCTCCACTTAATGGCAGACTTAAATTCCTTACTGGATTCTGGGCTGTGACGTTTCGGTGGCTAGAATAAAGCCCTATGAGTCTCTTCTTCTGGGATAAAGAGACAAGGATGAATGCAGGTGATGGACAGAGTGGAGATAAAGTCAGCCCTTCACTTTTAGTAATCAAAGAAAGATAGCATTCCACAAACCGACTGTTGTCCATTGGACTGATGTAAAATGGAGATCGAGGGATATGAGGCTTGGAAATACAGCTAATGTACTAAGAATTGGAGATCTGATCTATGCTGCACGCCATGGTTACGGTGACTGAAGGCAATGCATATAAAGTGTGAGTCCTTCCCTTTGGGTGTGTCACAATGGGTCAAAGCTGCCACCAGCAACAAGAGCTAGTTAAGAGGGAACTGAAATGCCCATATGTGATGGTCATCATGTTCTCCATCACTTCTTTGTAAGGGACAGTGCTACTATGCTTCTCCCTGCAGGTACCCTTCATACCTACAGGAGAGAAAATACCCAAAGGAACAGCCATGACTGAAATCCTGCAACTCAACTATTGTGTGTATTTATGTTCCAAAGGAAGCAGATGCCGTGATAGGGCAAGCACAGAACAAAACACAATACAGAAAAACAATGATGGAGAGAGCCTGGAAGGGTTTCTAAGGTGATCTTAGGGCACGTCTTTGATCTCAGAAACAATACAGCTGGAAGAATAATGGAGGCACAGCTTTTGCATAGATTTACGGAGGGCTTGTGCGCACTCAGGTGGACAGGCGATGAGAGTTCACAGACGGGCTTTCTCTCTGTCACCATGTAATGCTGCCTTACCAAACGTTCGTGTGGATGCAGGCTGCAGTAGCTGCTAGACTGTGGAATATGAGAAGAATTGCCCAACATTCCTCCGTAGCCAGGCTGATTCATCCCACTGGAGGAGCTCCAAGGGTCACTGCTGTGATGGCCATCTGTAAGGAACAAAGAAAACCAACACTTCTCTGAGGCATTCAGCCTGCCCTTATAGAATAGGGTTTTTTCAGGGACTTAAAAATGACTGCCTGTTGTGTATTCAGCTTTGTATTGGTTAGCTGGTTATAGCAGAAGACAGTCATCATTACCCTACCCCCCACCCTGTGGAGCCATACTGTCAAACAAACATTTGACATAGTTATAATGTTCTTCATAAAAACTTAACTGCAAAAGAACAGAGCACGTTTCGACACAGAACCATGTCAAGTCAGCAAGGTAACCAATGCTAAAGGAAACAGTTCTCTGGAGTTCCCTAACTTCTTTTTCTATGATAACCAACTGAAAAGTTAAATTGTTCTTAAATTTTTGCATGGACATAAAATATTTGAGACATTATAAAGTTGGCAAACTATAGTTTTAAAGGCATATAAAAATAAGTAATAATAATAATAAAGAATACCTCAGATTTAAAAGGTTGCATTTCATTTTTGTCACATACACAGTAAAATAAATTGGGATTGCTATATGGTATGCAGGGAAGGCATCTCAAATAGCTCTTTTCGTTTTCCTCCTTTTGGTGTATAGGTATGTAACTACCTTAATCTTTCAGTAGCAATTCAAGGAGTACATACATATCACAAGGTGGGTATTAGGCTACAGACAATTTTGAGAACCTCTGAATTCTATAAAACTATTTACTTATGAGTTAAAAAGAGGAATGGAATTATATAAAAGATCATCTGAAGCCCACTCATAACCTTTTGCTAATAGCATATTTAAAACATTCCTACAGATTCTTTTCATTCCTTGGTTCTGTTGGCTAGAGGCTAATATTAAGAGATTGCTACTATTTGGTTCTGCATTCTCAAATTTAAGAAAAAAGCAATGTAGGTTACTGCAAAATTCGCTCATTTTTACCTTCTTTCATTAGCTTAACAAAAAATACTGAGGGCTGGCTAGAGACTGGTTGTTAAATGTAAAACATATACTGTTTCCTTGAAAATAAAATTATTTTCACCTGAATATTTAATTTACTATAGGCTTCTTGAAAGACATAGGCAACAGGCAAGTGAAACATGACACCCTATTTCATGAAGCTTTTTTCCATTGAGTTTCTATATCTAGAAGTTAAAATTCAGAAAACTGGAATATTTTCAGAACAGGGAGGAATATCCGTAGACTTCTTTCTTTAAGAACTCTGCAAGCAAAATCATGTCTGTGATTTTGACAACTTAAGAGTTTTAACTAGAAGATGGAAATTGAAGATAAAAATAAAAGGCCACAGTAGTCAGTTTAAAATAAGCTCCAGACAGTCTTGGAATATCTTCCTCTTAATTGCATATTCTTTCAAGACTTGAATTTTCAGGGCACCATGTACCTTTCTACTGAAGGGCGGTTGTGTGAAATGGGACCATGCTGCACCTGTTTTGGGGGCCAGAATTTTAAAATACAGGACTTAAAGAAAAAGCAGTTATGAGCTTTAGGGTTAGCCTAGATATGAAGTTCACCTTAAATTCAAATATGAAGTTTAAGACTACTCACATTTAAAATACATGGCATATATGACAAATACACTGAGAACATCCATCACTGAACAAGAGCTCCCTGAAACACGGTGACAACGTGATGCACTATATGGCAATACGTTTAGGATTTGTTATCAGAGAATATATGCTACTCAATGCAGACGCAGAAGATACACATTTTACATAAGTTATGCTTTTCACAAAAATTAATATTTATCGCATCCCATGATCTTAGCATAATGCTGTTTTGAAAGAATAGAATCAGATGTGTGCAAATTCATTGTGTTCATCATAAATGTCAACTAAAATTTTTTTTTCTTTTTTTTTGGGGGGGATCATACACAGTGCAAACAACCCTACTGCCACTGAGCTGTTTCCGACTCCTGGGATCATATCCAGGAAAACAAATGTGTTCATCACGTTTTGCTTAGTCTGTTATGGGTAAGACCCTATTATTTTACTAGACCTGGTCTTCTCTATAATTTGTAAAACTCAAGCAAGCCGACCTCCTGAAGGCAGACAGAAGAAACCTATCCTTCTGTCAATCCTGTCAATGGAAATCTATTTAAAGTGATGAATCTGTTTCAAGAGTTGACAACCTCTGTAAGCTCCATGAGCAGTTTCTCCCACTGCTCACAGAACAGGGAGATGATGGCTGCTATTTATAGCCTTCCATCAGAGCACAGAATGCACTCAGGGGACCCACCTGGCCATGTCCCTTTGAGGATTAGACCAAAGACGGGGCACAAGGGCATAGGACTCCTCTGCACTTGGGCTCCACTGTGTACAGAATAAAGTCTCCCTATTCCTGAGGGAAAAGGAGCTCTGGTAGTGGAGTGGTTAAGGCATTGGCTGCTAACCAAAAGTTGGGTGGATCAAACCCTTCATCTTCAGAAGAAAGAGGAGGCAGTCTGCTTCCATAAAGATTTACATCCTTGGAAACCTGTCCATAGAGGGCTGCTATGAGTCGGAATTGACTTAACAGCAGTGAGGCTTTTTTTGCTATTCCTGAGGGAAAGGAGTCCTGGTGACACAGTGGCCAGTGCTTGGATAACTAACCAAAAGGTCAATGGTTTGAATCTACCAGCTGCTCCACGGGAGGAAGATGTAGCCATATGCTTCCATGAAGACTACATGCTTGGAAACCCTATGGAGCACTTCTAGACTGTCCTAAAGGGTCACTATGAATTGGAATTCAATTCAGTGGCAATAGGTTTATTTTGTTTTATTTCCAAGGGACCAATCTGATTCATTTTTATAGATTTTCCATGGAATTTCACATGTGAACCAATGACCTGAAAGAACTAAGACTCTGAAGGGAAAGAAAATCTCTCTTTTAGTGGATGATTTTGAATGTGTCCACTGTGATCTAAGAGACCACTGGGCTGTTCACCTGCTGCTTGCTGCCTCAGTTCCATGCCACGCTTGGCCATGGCTCTTCCAAGACTGGCTCCAAGGACAAAACACAGTGGCACGGTGTGAAGGCACACGCTATCTGGTTCTCAAATCCAGGCAACAAAGCGTTAATAAAGTTCTGCTGTATGCCTCCTGGTGAATGGCACACCTTGATTTCAGGCTACTAACTTGGTAAAGGGATCTCCACATTTAAAAAATAAATGCCAGAGGTATACTGGGGGATAGAGTCTTTAGCTGGTCCATTCCTGTAAGCAGCTGCAATCATTTCGACCATCCTGGCCTTTTTCAAACAGTGGAAAAGGGCTATACAACCAACGGCAAGACTGTAAGTTCTGGGACCACATGCCCATCCGCATTACATTAATGGCACTGGGCAATTCAAAGAATCTAACTTTATCTACCACAAAGCTGTAACTTTCTACACTTGCTCCTAAAAAATAACGGGTCTCTCATCTCACATCAGTTAGCATGCTGGGATAAAGGTTTTGCTGTGTAAATAAAAGTCATCCAGTCTTTAGCTAGACCACATCATCTTAAATGGGACTCTTGTGCTTACCCTCTAATTGATAACTAGCTGACAAATCTATGTGAGGTTATACATGAGGATGACTTGTTCTCACTTAGCTAAGTCCAGGATGCTTACAACATACACTGAGCTGAAACAGGCACTCGTTTTTCTTGGGGATGGTGAAGAAGCTGAAAAAATGGGAGACCATCACCTGAGTCGCATCCACTCTAAGTGAAGCATATTGGTCTGATCTTAATTCCTTATTGCTCAAGGGGCTTTACTGTGAGGAAAAAGTCTTAGAAAAATTTTATTTATTTTTTTTTACTCTTAATGAATTCCATTTCTAAGACAAGAATGTCCTCCAGTAGTCTACATTTGCATAGCAGACGATATACTGGCTATCAGTCAAGCCGTAGTCTGTCCCATCCATGACTTTTGAAGACCGAGGAAAATTCTGCCCAGTAGATTTTCTGTAGAGCATCTTACCTTGCATGAAGAAGGAGCTAGGGAAAGTGCTGGCTGCTGGTTTTGAGGAAGGATAACCCGGTGAGTCCCTGTTGTAGTCGGCAGTGCTTGCTGACGGGGCATAAACCTGGAAAGGAGAACTGATTTAGTTTTGCCTTCTGCATTGACCAGAGTATCTCAAGATCCATAACTATATGAGCCACAGGAATAAAATGCTAAATTTCTACCATGTCTAGTCTAAACCTGAGCAAATCCTGGAAACACTGCCCCTCCTTTTCAGAATTCAAACCACCACACAACAACAAAGCTCAGCATATTTGTTTGAATGGAAAACAAAATTAAGGCTTAAAAGATAACCAGGGATGATATTTTCCAATCCTAGACAAGAATACTGCACCCACGTCTGTTTGTAAATACACTGCATAATATATCTATAAGAGGATTCCTGGAAGTTTGACTGTGTGTATACACAAACACATGTACATATATGTACATACATACATATATACACACACACACACAAATATATATA